ACTCACCCCCCTACTTACCCTCCCTTACTCACCCCCCTACTTACCCTCCCTTACTCTACCCAACATCCCAACATCCCAACCTCTCCACCTCTCCACTCATCTCCACTCTAGCCAAAGAAACACGACGAGGTCACGAATCACGACAATAATAACCGAATTCACGAACTACTTAACTACTTAATTCATAATAAATTAAGTACTGTACAAAAGAAATTTATGGTTTGATATGGTGATTCAGTTGAGAAATTCACAACTACTTTCACGACCTGATTACAGTATAGGTATGAGCTGAAAGTTTTGGAATTTCGGGTACTCATACCTTATAAGGTATATGATGATGGTATTATTCTTAAGTAGCTTCAAGTAAGTAATGGGATATAGGGTTTTCCATCGGTGGAAATTTTCTAGCGTGCTTTAATATAACTACACTAGAATACCTGTGGACAGTAGAGGTGGTAACTAATACTCTGACATCCATTCCGCACTAGCCGCAAGTCAACCCAAAAAAGACAGCTCGATCCAATCCCTATCACAAGCATCTCTCCCACGCTAGAAACCCCCGCAGACACCCCAAAACGCCATTCAAATATCAGGCAACAGCCCAACTCCATACCAATTCATCCTCATCCCCCTCGTAAAATGAAGATGCTCAAACTCATTCCCCTCCCCCACCTCCTTAAGAACCCACTTACGCCCTTCCCAGAACGCCGGTCTCAAGTCCACCTGCGGAAACTGAGGTCCTCCTCCCATCCTCTTCTCCCTCTCATCAACAAAGTAATACCGATGAGCAAATCGTCGATCCCTCATATCGAACGGTACCTCCTCTGGAACCCAGTTCATCCTCTCCAGTGGATCATCGGGTGGCTCGTCTCGGAGTAGCATCCAGTCCGGGGGGCAGTATACTTTGTAATCCGGAGTTGGTGGATTCTCACGTAGAAACTGGATGATTTCCGAAGGAACTCCATCGAGCTGTGAAGGTATGCCAACGGCGAGGGGTAGCATATGGCTGAAGAGATAGTATTTAGGGTAAGGGAATTCTGGCTGTGATGTCTTGGTAACCTGTTTTCCATCTCCTCTAACCGTAATGTAGTCCTTACATTTTTTCGCATACCGGGTGATGTCCATGTCGCAATAAAAGAGACCGCGGGTGATAAACCAGTCTTCGATCAAACGGGGGAACACCCAGACTTGTGAAGGATTGCGGAAATGTGGTATCTTCTCCAGCTTGAATTGTCGAGACCCAATAAGTCTTCCTAAATCAATGAGCACTTCCATGCAGCTTGTGTGGAAGTAGCGGTTTGGTTTTACTTCTTAAGTCAGACACCGAATTTACAGCGATTCCAAAGGGGGTAAAACGTACGAGGGGCTTGCTCTGGGTTCAATCCATACATAAAATAATTCGCACGCCGTGACCCACTGATATCAAATAGGTTGAAACAAAACTTGGACGTGATATGCCCTTGTGAGTGCATCGACAACGACAGCGACCTTGGTATGCAAAATAGTGCTTCGCACTTGTTTAAATACCTCGTTCTTTCCAAAAGAAGAACTGATGCACGATTTCGTAACTCAGTTGTGATAACGTCCAAATCTTCTTTCGCTAAATGGTAGTCGTTGAAAGTCCTGTGATTTGATTAATTCCCTGGCTTTTATTAAAAACATGAGGGGAGAACTACCCTCCTGGTATACGAAAGAAAGTACATTTTTTCTTAAAAGTAAGACACAAGAAGCAGCTCAATTTGCCCTCTAGTCCTTGTTCATTTATTTCTGCATAACACGGTTGGCGCTTTTGAGTGCAAGAATCGCAGGATTCGTGAAAGTATGCGTATTTTATGTGCCCTCCGTCGTTGGCTGTACCCGACATGTCTACTGGTGTGGTGGAAGAAGCATCATTCTCCACATTCGAGTTACTGGCAAAAGCTCTTTGACTGAGCGGTGTCTCGTTCGGATCACTATAATTCGAAAGCTCTGGAGGATTTTGGTGGCTATTCGTCCCATGCTGATTAACCGATGTATGTGGAGTATCCGAATCTGAGGCTGCTAATTTCTCTCCTTCAGGTGAGCTATTAGTTTCCGATACCTCCGTCGACTCCAGTATGACATCTGAATTTGGTCCTTCCGGTTGGGGAGAAACTTTGTCCGGTTGCGATGGCGTTGCCAACGGCCACGATTCTTCCAAAGATATTAGTCGCGTGTTTTCATCATCGACATCCTTTTCACAGTAGGATATCATGCTGACGAGGAAACGGGCTTGAGGAAGTGCGATTGGTATCCAGAATTGTGAGTAAGGGATGAAATCAAGCAAAAGTGGAAAGATGGATACAATGGCTTGTTGGTAAAGATGTTGTTCCTGGACCAGTCATGGTGGGATGGGAAGAAACTGCGATGATACTGAAGATTGGCCTCCATTGCTCTTTCCGCGTATAATTGCCGCGTATAATGAGACTTTGTATGGAAGCAGTGATCTTGTGGGAAGGCACGATCCAGAAGCTACCACATCAGTTCCAAGTTCTGAGGGTAAGAGCTATCATTGGAGATGTTGGAAGCTCAACATGAGCTTTTATAGTGACTTCCGCCTCCATCCTCCTTGAGATCTGAACATTTGAACGCATATCTGACAAAAGGCCAAGAAAAAGAACAACCCAACTGAAATTGTATAGGAAAGACGAAGAAGGGAGGTTCAATGTTAAAAACTCCAAATAAGAACCATGCTGCCTATAGCTACTCGATCATAAGTAGCTGTAAAACGAAAGGCTAGGAGCCCATATAAAACATCAGATTGACAGTACGCGGATGACCTATTTTTGCAAAGATTCCTGTGAATCAAGCTCTTGACAAATTGCTATGTTGCTCTGGTGTATGAGCCACTGGCTCAAGCTGTCATGTCTCTCTGGATACGTAGCTGACAGATACATAACTCAAGCAGTTCCCGCGAACTGCGAAAGCCCTTCACTTCTTCCGAGTTCTTCTTTCGATGAGAAGGAAGAATGCACCTGGTAAACAAGTCTCCTCTGGGGAAAGTCCAGGCCTCAAGGTTGCCAGAGAGTAGGTTCCTAGGTAGGTGCTGTAGGATTCAATAGCAATGAGCACCTGCATTCTCTAAAGTCAAATACGGAACGAACGGCAGGCAAGTGCAGGCACGAGTCGGGATGATCAAAAGGGTGATGGTGATGGTCTAGACGAGTCGATTCGCACAGAATGTACTGTACAAGTAGCGAGCAGTCGTTCCTGCCTAGAGCCCCGTAGACTAGGTTCTGGGTATGTTGTCCTGTACTGTAACTGGCATGATATAGGTGTTGAGGCTCTGTCATGGCTCTTTGAGTTTGACTGACTGGCTACAGTAGAAACCCTCTGGAAACGAGGAAGAGCTACTCCGTGTCCTGAGAGGCTCGTGATGAGTATTCTCTGACTTCCTTCCCTGTCTGAAGCGAGAGCACTATACCTTAGAGGCTAAGGGGGGGTTTTATCCACGGATATACCGCCGTTCTAGAATAGTTACTAAGAAATAAGTATTACCTTGTTATAACTTAGTCAGAATGATTTGCACATTGTTCTTACTTAGTAATCATTAATAAGCTAAATACTTCTTGGACTATTAGGGATTTTTAAATACTTATAGTACGTTAGAGGGGAAAGCGGAGTTTTTTAGACTGTCTAGAGACTCTCGAAAGAGGGTTTTATATAGAATCTAGTCCTAGGGGGAAAACCGCCAGGTGATAGGAGGAGGGCGTTTTATATATAAAGATAGTTTTAAAATATTAGATAGTTATATTAATAAGATTATTAAGAAAAGTTTCCTAAATATAAAAGCGTTCTAGGACTATCCCGAGAGCGTTTCGAGAGCGTCCCGAGAGCGTCCCGGGAGCGTCCTAAACCCGTCCTAAACCCTACTCTAGGTGCACATGTAGTTACGTAAGCAGGGAGGGTACACAAGGCACTCCCGACCCACGCTCGGGCGCCTACGGGCATATACCCCGCGCGCGCCCACAACCCTAAACCCCCCCACCCAACTGAACCACCCGCATCATCACACGTCATGCCGCCTGTGATGCGCGCCCGTCAAATTTCGCTGAATCGACTAAATTTAACACTTATATTTTAATAGCGTTAGGGTTGAGCGCATAGGAGCAGTACCGAGTGCATGATGTAGCCCGTGCGCTGCGGCTCTGCGCCCTGCATGCGGCTCTGCGTAGGCACTTTTCCGCCGCGTCCCGGAACCGTCCCGGGACCGTCCGACAACTGTTCTACGATCGTTCGGCGACTATTTAAATATAAAATAGTTATAAATCTAAGACTATTTATAAGTAAAATACTATCAAAACTATTTATATTTAAATAGTTATAAATAAAAACTATTTTAAAATAAAATAATTATAAAATAGTTTTAAACCTATTTAATGTTAAAATAATTATTAATTTAAACTATTATACTTATAAATAGTCTTAAGACTATTATTTATTTAAATAGTTATAAATTAAAGACTATTTAGCTTCTAAATTATCTTATATTAGTTTAAAATTTTAAATAGTTTTTATAATAAATAGTTATATAATTTTAAATTATCTAGAAATAGTTTTATAATAGTTTTACTTTTATAGATTATTCTATAACTATCTAAAACACTCCGCTTTCTCCTCTAAGGTAGGTAATAATTATATATTTATAATTAATATTTTATTTAAGTTAAAGTATTAAATTATTCCTAACCGTTATAAGAGCGTTATATAATAGTTTCGTAAGCGTTCTATAAGCGTTCCGTAAGCGTTCCCGGAGCGCTTAGGCTAGCTTACTAAGACCCGGGAATACCTTTAACTACGATCGTACGTACCTACGCGCCTATATGTAACGAATACTCAAACTGGCTAACTAAACTTGGCTGGGTGTTCGCTGGTTGGTATGCTATGATAAGAAGAAGACTATCGGGTTGTTCACTTGGAAGTGAACTCGTTACTTGTATCAAAGATGTCAAACTAATATGATAAGATTGATAACTAAGTTGAGCACGAAGCTCCTATCTAATGGCAGACGTGCCAGTCTTATAGATCCTCTGTTCTCTGTTCTAACTGTTGGATCGCCGGGGTTGCTTGTCTACCGAGTCGACCCAGACGACTGGAGCGCTCGTCGCTCCAGTCGTCCCAAATTGTCACGTGACACTAACAAAAGGAAATCCCTGGATCGCTTAGCTAGCCCAAGCGATCCCATTTGCTATAAGAGCGTTCAATAGTGCTTGACTTGTCAGGACGCCGCCTGGTCTTCACTTCTCACGTGACAATACGTGATTCGTGACACTATATACCTATATAAGACCTTGGCTAGAAGCGGTACTACACGCGTACCCGACTATTTTACCCGAATCGACCGATTTTATAACTTATAAATTAATAGCGTTAAGGTTCGTAGAGTAGAAGCGGTACCGAGTAGTATTTACTATCTATACGCCCCTCGTGTCACGAATCACGTGCTCAACTTAGTTATCAATCTTATCATATTAGTTTGACATCTTTGATACAAGTAACGAGTTCACTTCCAAGTGAACAACCCGATAGTCTTCTTCTTATCATAGCATACCAACCAGCGAACACCCAGCCAAGTTTAGTTAGCCAGTTTGAGTATTCGTTACACCTCGCTCCTAGGTAGGTCCTCTACTAATACCTCTATTATAATTAGGCTACTTAAGTATTAGACCTTATAATACTTGTTTAGTATAAGATATCTAGGATAGTTTTATTTTTGACGTATTATAAAACCCTAATTATTATAAAGACTAATTATTCTATTATTATTAGAATAATTAATTGTTATAGCTCGGAATACTTTACTTTTCGTAACGCTTACTAAGACGTAACGCTCCTAGGACAATGCTAGAAGCGTTACCACCTGGTTACTATCGTACTACCACGTAAAAAACCCCCCCTTGGCCTTTAAGGTAACAAGTATCGAGATGTACCTATTTCGCTGCCTACAAATGAGAAAGTCGTTGCGGCTTCGTTAAGAAGACCCCTGTTGGGTTTCTGATGGGCCAACATTCACCTGCATCAGGCGGAGTGTGGCGTACAATATGCCCTTGCCCAATGATGTTTCGCATGACGTATATAATTTTCGCCACAGCTCTATCAAACATGTATCGGACTGTGTTGCACTTTCAATCAATACAATAATACAATTTCATGGAAGTATAATGGCCTGTTCGGCTCATACTTGAGTATGTGTCTTCTCAACATCCGAGTACCCACGTAGACAGCATACCTAGACAGCATAGACAGAATCATGGATTCGGTGTTTAACGTTATCAAACAACGCCACTTTCACTATCTCGGACCATCAACTATCGACCCCGCGTGGGCCACCTAGGGGACCAGGGTACCTAGGTACTTTTATGCAGATGTTATCCCCGAATACACACGCCAGGGAGACACTACACTCCCAGCGGAGCGTAGCCCCGAAAATGCAACTCTAACTCAAATAATTCTCACTCCCTCTTCCCTCAAGAACTCCTCCCCAACTGTCCAAACCCGTACACATTGCTCGCATTCCCCCATCCGCCCACTCGCAGGCACCGTCAAAATGCCTGCTGTGATTGCCAAAGGTCAGATACTAGAAACATAACCCCCGTGCAAATCCCCCTCCATGATTGGACCACCCACCGCAGATTCACCGAATCCCCTGCAAAGTCGAGTGGCGTTGCGAGTCGACGTCTACGCAAGATCATCCTCATCCTCGTCCTCGTCCGCTTCACTACTCGAGGCATCCATCTATGCCCTCCTAATTTATTCATGAACTTGTACACCTGTGCTCCCATCACCTCAACGCCTCCTTTCTACTCATCCCCTATTTTGGTCATAATTGCATTTACGAGATTGTTTTCCACAATTTGATCCCGAACCATGCCTAACCATCCTGTTGCAGGCGCCATCATCGTCGTTAGTGTCGCTGTAGCTGTAGGTCTTCTCTCTCCGGACTTCGACCATTTTTACTGATTTCCACAGGCCGCAATAGCTGTTTATGAATCCCCTCAAGCTCGACAGTTTGCCGAAGATGTACGACGACGTATAGCAATCGCCTTGCACTCCCTCGGCGATGAGATCAATCCCCAATCACAAGAACCTCGATTTAACCGCCCCGAAGATGCAGAAGGCTTTCTACAAAGTGCGGCCGAAGCAGGTGTCGACGCAGACGAGGAATTTAGAAGAAGACAACGAGAAGAGTTGATGTATTGGAATGCCGTCCATATGGAGAAATTGGAGAAGGAACGGAAAATGGCAGAAGACCGACCCGCCAATAGAAGTCGTGGATCCAGCTTTGATGATTTCCTGCAACAAGATCACACAGCAGAAAAGGGAACATATGTCTACAACACGGGTGCGGAGGTACATGCCGAATCTGACGAGGGACTTCGCAACCGTGGTGCTGGTGTACGAGGCTTGAACCGAGGCTCCATCTATGCCAATCCTTTTGGTGATGAACACCACATTGATTTCGAGGAACAGCGGGCTATTGATGCAAGTCTCATGGCACCAGAAGTTTCCGAGAGATACGAAACCATGTCAGACCTCTACAGCGCAAGCGACGTGCCAGTACCTCACACTCGTGAGACTACTGCCACCATCGCTGAACAACTTATTGATACCTCAGAACCTGTTGATGACCTACCAGTCTCTACACCATCTGCCGAAATGATCGAGGAGAGCTACAACTTCGCCAACATGTCTCAACGGGACGAGTCGGCATATGCATCTATTCATGCTTGGGCAGATAATGCCACCAGCAGCTTTTATTCGCCACTCCCTAGCACCCCACGAGCCGGATCACCTCTTCCACAACACGAAGTCGTACCCGGATCTCCCACATTTAGTGACCCAGCAATTTCCGTTCCTGGTGATCTGACACCCACCATGTCTTTGGCTGGCTCAGGCGAAGAGATATGGGCGCCACGAAGTGGAGCAACTAGCGAAGCCGATATGATGAGTGTGGATGGTGACGATATTATTACTCCTGGTAGCTGGACCGAGGTTGGCAGTGAGGTTAGTGAGAATGATGTTAGTGCTATTCACAGTTAGATTTCCCCTATTTTTTTTGACTTGCAAAAACTGGTCCAGGCCTGGCGCTTTGGTGTTCTGGATTTTCATCTTTTCATTTCCTGTTGGGTTGGGTTAGGGTAGGCTAGGCTAGGGCGGCTGGTACATCTGGGATTTTATGGTTGGGATGGTCGGGTCTTATTTTTGTGCGTACAAATGTGATTTGTGGTATACATACATACATACATTTATTTATCTTTGTGTATAGGAGTCGTTTTTGGAGGTGTTGTGAGGTAGAGTACGTGATACACACTCGTTTTTCTTTTTGTTCTACCTATTTATCCTTTGAAGAGTCTCTTCCTTCTTTATTTCCGTACAAGGATTTCTCCGTCTCTCTCTGTCTCTCTCTCTCGATTGTTTTCTTGATACCTTCCTTTCGCTTTCTTTTTGTTTTTTTTCTGGGAGGGTGAGAGAGGTAGAAAACAAGGAAGTGAAGGAGGTTTACGTTGTGGTTTTCGTGTGGCTGGCTGGGTACAGTAGCTGAGTGTTTTCTTGTTTGGTGCTAGAAGGCAAAGTTTCGTGTATGTATGACGAGCTCTCGGGTGGGCTTTTATTGTACCTCCTCCCTTCCCTCCCCCCCTCTTTTCTTTTTTGGATGAGGTGGGTGTGAGAGGGAGGGGAAGTGGTTGGGCGTATACAGACTTGATCGGATCGAGGATATCTTTTTAGTATGGACTGAGTATATTCCTCGGAAACCCTCCAGCGAGAGATCTGGAGAATCTTTTTCTTTCTTTGTTTGTGGAACGTGGAGGATGGTCATAGACGGCGATCGGTAATGTATGAGCTTATCATGTGGTTCTATGTGTGTACCATGGGTAGTCTGGATATGGGATATGGGATATTATGTGCAACATCATCCTGGGCTCAGCACGTACTGTACAGGATGGTACGAGGTACAAGACAAGGGACAGCCGTAATCTTACAGCCGTACGGTACGGGTGTACCACACTGTGGCTTTCTGGTACGTAGGACATGGTTGTACCACGGTCAATAGTTCCTGTCTTTGGGGGTGGATGTTCCGAGGAATGGAGTTGTGGAGATGTTGATTGGGATGTTGGATGTGGGTTGCTGGTTGGGTGATACTATGGACGGAATTGGTTTGTGCGTTTCCCTGGTGGATGGTTTCTTATACTTCATAGGACGACTGTGTAAAGATCTTGGACACGGGGTTACACGGATATTTTGGGGGGCTTGGTGAGGGAGCGGGTGATCTTACAGTACTTCTTTCTCGTTCCCGATCTTTTGGGGTGGGTTGGATTGGGAGACTTTCGAACCCCTCTCTTCGCTTTCGTTTTCTAAAGGGTAAACCACTTTTCACTTCATCCCTTTCACCAGTTGAGAGGCAAGGAAATACTGTGAACAGAACCAGGAATCTACAGCAACCATGGTCCAAGAACCTTCCAAAGTCGATGTCCTCATCGTCGGTGCTGGGCCCGCGGGGTGAGTATTTTCGGAAATACCTTATACCGCATACCTTTTTTTTCTTCCCGATTGATTTGATGCGAATTTTCTGACGTTGGGATAGGCTTATGGCTGCGGCTTGGATGGCGAGATGTGGTGTCAATGCGCGGATCATTGATAAAAGGGGGACGAAGATTTTTAGTGGGTATGTCTATATCTCTGATCTGAATATATCGGAATGAATGAATGGAGGTATTTTTGATTTCATGAGGAAAGGTTGGGAGTTGAATAGAGGGAGATTTTGTTGACTTATTTCTTTTCTCTCGCTTAGACAGGCGGATGGGCTTGCGCCGAGGACTTTGGAGGTGAGTTTTTACATACCTTCCTCCCTTAAATTCCACGTTGAGGTTCTTTTGAGGAGGAGAGTGAAGAAGGATAGGAGGGGAAGAAGGCAGATTATTGATATGATGTGATTCCTTAGATCTTCGATTCCTTCGGCTTCGCAGACCGGGTTTGGAAGGAAAGTTTCCATATGATTGAATTCGGACTTTGGAATCCGGATGAAGAGGGGGTTCTCCGACGTGCGGACCGTCTGGCGTCTACGATTCCTGAGCTGAGTCGGTTTCAGCCTGTGTTGTTGCATCAGGGTACCCAACTCCATACCCATATCCTCACTCCTACAAAGGAATATCTAGCCAGATAACTAACGCTAGCCCAGGACGCATCGAACGCTTCTTCCTCGACCACCTCCAAAAACACAGCTCCATAAAAGTCGAGCGCGGCGTCCTCCCAGAATCCCTAACCTTCGACGACTCCCTCGCCGAAGACGAGGATGCGTATCCCATCCAAGTCACGCTTCAACACCTCTCCGAGGACGAAGCGAGACCTGAACAGAGTCTCGCCAATGGCAAGGCGACCTCCGATGGCCTGTTTAGAAGTAACCTCGCGGCCGACGATACGGATGAGTTGTTGGCGAAGGTGCATGGTAATGAACGCGCCGGGACGAGGGAGGTGGTTAAGGCGAGGTATTTGGTGGGGTGTGATGGCGCGCATTCGTGGACTAGGAGGCAGTTGGGGTTGCAGTTGGAGGGGGAGCAGACGGATCTTATTTGGTGAGAAGTATCCTTTTTTCTTTTATAGATTTGAGACTTGTGATGGTTTTTGGTTTGAGGGTGGATGAAGCTGATTGAGTTAAAAGGGGTGTGTTGGATATCATTCCCATTACCGACTTTCGTAGGTGTTCTTAGTGAGAGGGGTAAAGGGATGCGCTAGCTAATGATGGGATAGCTGATATTCGGATGGGCTGTTCGATTCATTCTGCTGATTCGGGGAGTGTGATGGTGATTCCTAGAGAGAAGAAACTTGTTCGTCTCTATATCCAGTTGTCGACTGTAGAAGTTGGTGATAAGGGGAAGGTAAGTTATTCTGCCATACATCGTATTACTTACATTCATTGACATTTCACAGCTTGATCGCACGAATATCACGCCAGAAATGATTCTTGAGTGTGCTCAGAAGATATTCGCGCCTTATAAGTTGACTTATTCACATTGTAACTGGTGGTATGATATATTTCCATTTCTCAAGTATTGTTTCCAATTTGATGGTCAAGGACTCTCAAGGACTTCCCCCATCCACCTCCCAATTAAAAATAAACCACCCACTAACCCCCCACAGGACAGCCTACCAAATCGGCCAACGCGTCTGCCCCTCCTTCCACCGCTCCCACCGCATCTTCCTCGCCGGCGACGCGGTCCACACGCACTCCCCCAAAGCCGGCCAAGGCATGAACGTCAGCATGCAAGACACCTACAACCTCGGCTGGAAGCTCGCCTCGGTCGTCAACGGGACTTGCAAACGCTCCCTCCTCGAAACCTACCAATCCGAGCGTCGCCGCGTCGCTCAAGACCTCATCGCCTTCGACCATCAGCTCTCGCGCCTCTTCAGCGCTAAACCCGCGAAGGAAGGAGGTGACGATCATGAAGGCGTAGGCATGGATGTCTTTAAGGATTTTCTGGAGAGGGGGCTTGTGTTTGGGAGTGGGACGGCGGTGGAGTATGGGCCTAGTGTGGTGGTTGCGAAGGAAGGGGATGTCGCGAAACACGGGGATGGGACTAGGATTTCGGTTGCGCGGCTGGCGGGTGGGGAGCGGCTGGTGGGCAAACCGTGGTTGGCGAGCGGAATCAAAGTCGGTGTCCGCATGCCCTCTTTTCAGGTCCTGAACCAGGCGGATGCGAGACCCTGGCCGTTCCAGCAGCTTTTGCGGAGTGATGGGCGCTTTCGCGTCGTGGTTTTTGCGGGGGATGTGCTTAGCGAGGGGCAGATGGGGAGGGTAAGGCGGCTGGGTGAGAGGCTTTTGGGGGTTTTGAGAAGCTTTACGATGAAGGGGGGGGATCTGTATGAGGTTTTTGATGTGCTGACGGTACACTCTGCGACCCGGACGGGGATTGAGTTCTTGGATTTTCCCGAGGCGTTGAGGCCGTTTGCTGGGGAGATGGGGTGGGATTATGATAAGATCTTTGTGGATGGGCCGAGTCATTATGAGGGGGATGGGAGGGCTTATGAGGGGTATGGGGTTGGTCCTGAGGGGTGTTTGGTTGTGTTGAGACCGGATCAGCATGTTGGGTTTGTAAGTGATCTTGAGGATGTGGTGGGGGTTGAGAGATATTTTGGGGAGTTTATGGTGAGGAGTTGAATGTGTGAGAATTACTCCTTGCGTCTTCTTGGTTGAGTGTGAGGAGATATTCTCTGCGGCATTCTCGGTTGTTCTTTTGGCTTTCGCTTTGCTTAGGAATAGGGAGATGAAAAGAATGAAGTTATAGATTTAATATACCTTGGCTTGCTCTGAGCTCATTCGTGCATACATTGCACTTTACTATCCGTGATCCGTCAATTGTGTGACAGTAATAGTATGAACACATTCTCCTAGTGGCGTCTTCGTTCGTTGTCAATTATGTTGTCACCTTCGTGGAAGAAGTGCGTTGCGAGAACTGGCCAAGATCCGCTGCTTGTCTTGCATCCACGCGCTCGACCGACTCCTCTACTGACTCTCAATTGAAGACGCCTAGCCATTGACTCGTAACTTTGAGCGATTTGGGGGTCTTATGGTCCAACTCCTGTGCCTTCTCCACCTTTATTAATCCTTTCCCTTCACCTGCCCCTAAAATGCTGTAAAGTGGCGAACGGGCTCAAAGTTGACTCAAGGATATTTCGCAAAAGCTCGAGAACTTTTCCACAAAGGTACAGTAGCACAAAGGAAACTTTCAGACGACAGATTTCCATTCAGAAGACTTCAGGCAGGATCTCGCGATATTTCGACAATAAACATATCTACGACAGCAAGTGGTTAAAAGTTCAACGCAAATTGTATTCTCGACTACGTACTGTATCCCCGGCGGCCGAGAGCGCAATGCTCTAATCGACACGCATTGATTCCTGCCTAGAAAAAGTACTTGTATCTCCATTCGCTGACAAATCTACGTTGTTGCTATGTACAAATCATCGCTGTCATGCAGGAAATCCAGTACTTGTCTTCAGAAAGCATCGCCAAATCACCGAGAGGAATTTATGTTTGCGCTGAAGGAAAAGAACATGATAGTAAGAAAGTCGCGCTGACGAATTGCCTGGCTTTTGTGTTAGTTTGCTGTAAAAAGTTGGATGGCTGGGACATGTTTTACCTGAGACGAGAAGATGTAGCAGATACCCATGCTCATATGAACGCCACGAACGATTGAAGGAAAGACATTTTGCAGAAAAGAAACGATTGTGCTGGACCCTTGGTGTAGCTGAGCAGCAAATAAAAGTGATGTCGGATCAAATCAAATCATGACATAGCGGTTTGATACAGTCGCCTTATCAGCGTTGCAACCGCTTTCCTCGTTGAAGATACGCGCAACCTCGTCCCACTTAGTGCTCTCCCATTTCTCAACAGCATTAACCAACATCATGTCCCGATCCGGGGTCCAGTTGACCTTTGGCATCCTAATGGCCTCAGCCATGTTCTTTCCACGACGTTGATGAAGCGGAATAAAGGGAATATTTTGGCCGGCGAAAAGGAGAGGAGCAGTACGACCATATCGGTTAGCAACACCAGTGGTAGTCAACTTTGGATCTTGGCCACGCTCGATGCGCTCCTTGTTAAGCACGTTCTTAATCTGTTCAAAGTTCATGTCACCGAACTCGCGAAGGTTGACAATTCGAATGTTCTCGGGATCGCTGGCGCCAGCTCCACGCTTGCAGACCTTCTTTCCGTTGGCTGGTCGCTCAATACCACGCTTCTTCAAGTAAGCATCCGTGACTTCGTTTTGCTCAACCATAACCGGCACGTTTTGAAGGTCACGCTGAGAGCGATGAGCGTCATTTCCACCAGCAGCGACGGGCTCTCTCAAGTCTCCCGGACCTTCGAAGCGCTCAAGACCTGGGTAATTCGGGAAGGTGTTGGCTGTGAATTGACCAAAGCCCTCAGCACCGTTGTTCTCATACAAATTCTCGTACGCCTCGGAAGTGAAGGGTGCAAGAGGAAGTTGTTGGGTTGCTAAAGGGTCTTCTCCAATGCCAGCTCCCCCCATCTCCTCCATATGAGCTTCAGGGGCATGATAGCTTTCATCATCTTCAACCATCAAACTCTCTTCTTCGGTGTCGTCAAAGGAGGCACTAGCTACAGAAGGACTGCCGTGATGGGCGATCAATCTTTGAGGAGCGGTCTTTGGGGTCTTTTTACGCTTTGCGACACGATTGCTAACTACAACCTGGTTGCGAGGGCCACCACGGGGTTGTCTACCAGTGAATGGACGAGGTTCGGATTGGTCATCCGAAATTTCCTCATCGTCCTTATCCTGTTGGAATGGACGCTTTGGAGGTTGCGAGGTGCGAAAGCTTTGTGGAGGTTGAGACATCGGGCGCATTTGTCGAGGGACAGATTGCTGACGAGATTGTTGTCGAGACACGCCAGGAGAATAGAATCTTTGTGGGTTGGGGAATGGTTGCAAGGGGCCTCCTGTGTAGACACCAGGTGCTTGAGGGGGACTTATGGAGCTCATGATGTTGCCAGTATTTGCTTGCAATTGGGTGGTTGCGACAAGTTCATGGCGGGAAGTTGAGGTTGAAGGCCGATTCACTTGAGTGGATTCAGACTCGGCGTCTGAAGCATTGCTGTTGTGTGCTTCCATTTTGACGGTCAAGGTCTGGATGAATTAAAGTGGTAAGCACAAACGTTTAGGTCTGAGAAAAGAGACTAACTTACCCAGGTGTCTTTGGCAAAGGTTGTTGTATTGAGTGAGGGGTTGGTCAGTTGGATACTTGCGTTCAATTTAATTTTCGCGTCCGATATCGCAATCAAGTGTCGTAGCTTGAAGTGCTGCCAAAGGACAGGCCAAATTGCGGAGGAGTATTGCGAGCACTTTGGATGAAAGGAGTACTTCGCAGCTTTGTGAAAGGACCGCAAGATGATAGAGCGACGGTGTGGGGGGAAAGGGATGATAGAGTGTTGTGTTGGTGTAGAGTGGTGGTTGAAGAAGGTTGTTGTGGGTGAAAAGAGAAAAGAAGTTGACAAGGACCTCTCAGGTAGCTTTTGTAAACGCTAGCTGAACCTTCGGCCAATATCGGAGTCTTGGCAAAGGAAAGCAGCGGAGACTGGATTTGAGTCACAGGTCACAAGCACTGTCAAAAGAGAAGCAACGTTCAATTAATTGACAGTAGCATGGTGCTGCAATCACCTTATAAGCTATTTTTGATCACATCCATAATAACAATACTTTCTATAGCCACATGGAATCTGTCAGTTTCCTTGTGTACACTATTGCTAAAGCCAACAAAGTTTTGGTAAGATCTTTCTGACTGTTTAGTGAATTCTTACCACACAACATGGACTTCTTAAGCAACTCCAAGCCTCTAATATTATTAAGAATGTTCACTTTCAAACAGAAAAAGATAAATAGAAAAGAAAAGATTACCCAGCCTTTTGCGCATCTGGGTACCTACCCTCTTATGTATGAGCTCCACTTTGGATCATCCAAAGGTATATCCAAAATACAAAGTTGGATTCACAAGTGGTATGTTATTTACCCATCAAGATCTCCCCTGATACTATTGAGAAATATACTTGCGTTTGCAACATGATTGCGTTCAAGGGCGTGTTTTTAGATGACATCTCATCTGACATTCAACATCACATGAGAAATGTAATTACCTCTGACATTGTCACGTTTATTATGCTGGTATATTCAATCCCAAACGATTAAGCCCAGTGTGTCTTTTATAGTCTATCTGCACCAACATGTTTGTCACAATCAGAGGAGCCCGTAAAGGTGGTTAATGGGAAAGTCTATCCATGTATTCTATCCAGTGTCGCATAGAGAGCTTTATATAAGCCAAGTGAAGCTTGTAGAAGCACAATAACCTCAATAAAATGAGATACTGCGTGGAAAATGATTTTGGACTCCCTCTCCATTGACATACAAAAAAGAAACGCGTTGAACTCAGGGGCTCGCTAAAGGCTTGTCTATACCTTGGCGGGACAGACCACATTTACCAAAACAATAACTGGTGGGGGTAGAGAACACTACAATATTTCAGCACGTACCACAATGCCACCTTTCTTATTACACGACAATAGTAGACCTTACATTTGGTGATCTCCAAGAATGGAGTTGTAAGGCAATGTCGCTCTCAGACATACTGTGAGAGAACCCTTAATTAGAGTAGTGGGGCCGCTATAGTAAATAAGGTATAGATGAAATACTGGTATCTCTTTTTACTATTTTTATAATTGACCAACGAAAGCATAGAATTGCGCAGCAATCTCTTGTTACCTAATTCTCTCTGGAATTACCGATATGCCAGCCTATTTGTTAGTGCTGAGATATCTGCACTTTGGACCTGGTTGGGGATAGTCACGTGAGAAAGTTGAGGGAAGAATATACAATATATCTCCAGCATAATACCACACTCTCTTAGAGTAATCATGTTCAGAATCATACTCAGTTAAACTTGAAAACTTTCATCACTCAAGTAATGAACGGTGAAATCAACAAACATATGTTGGATTCATAGGAGTTATGTACAGTCGACTTAATTATTTGATTAATATTTTTTCATTGTTGGTATTGAGGAGAAGCCACAGAAAGGATATCGGAACAAGTGTAGATTTAGACAGAGTTAAATAATCAAAGAATTATTCCAGACTACAACTCTACTACACCTTCCGAATCCAAGTCAAGCTACCCTTGCAAAAGCATCAGTTCGTTCCGCATCCTTCATGTTGCTTCTGTGAGTCCGTGTCTTCCCTCTAACCCGAACGCAAATCCAAGATCAAGGCCTTCGCAATAATCTTTTAGCTTTCTGGGACTTGCGAGGTGGTCTGATGGTCTACCCAATGGCTTTTTTGGGGCTAGTCTTCCTTCTTTGATACCATGATCAAAGCCGTCGCAGAAATCAATGCTAACATCTGCTTCAATGTCACCAAAGGCCTTTGCTTGTACGGAAGGGCTGGATTCAAGGGAATCATGGCGTCTGAATCTCGGATGTCCGTTGTATGAGAAGTTTATGCATCCATCCCCTGGACATCCGTCTCGCTGCCCACCGTCCTCCTTCCCCCATACACTCGTTTTCTCACCAGCTGCCTTCTTCCATCCCAGCTTGAATCCCTTATTGAAACCTTCCCGATTGTTGGTATCTCGCTGATTCGTCTTGTATCATACCGAGATCTGATGGAATATCGAGGTGCTCACCAGGAAGACTATGGCCGTATGGATATGCAAAGCATGCAGAGGCTTTACATTCTTCGTACCCTTCGAGAAGCCCATGATCAAGTCCATCGTGTATATGTTTATCTTCTGTGTCAATAGTCCCCTCTTTCACCGCTGTGGATTGGTAGGTACTGCCACGACGGCGGGTTTCCACGTGTCGAGTATATTTTTGCTTTCCACGGTTTGACAAGACTAATCGCCCGGCGGCTTCTGTGATCAGAATGCCAGTGCCCTCTCTCTTCTCTGTGTTGGTATTGACGGAAATCATATTTATTAAATTCACGTGTGAGAAGGCGAGAAGTGATTTGTGTGCTGTGTGAGGTTCGGGTAACGTAATATCAAAAGTTCGTTCAAACGGTGGTGGAATTTAGTCATATATCTAGAGCTCAAGTTTCTGGATGCAGATGGTCGCACATCGAAAAGTTTAGATTCAAGACATTCCTAGAATCTTGAGTATATTCTCCGACCTGCCGCAGTAAGTAGGCATCAGAAACCCAAAATAGAGAAGTATCTGGAGACAAGTGAAATCTTAGCAGTCATAGAAAATCGAAACAGATGGATGGTCCTTGTGAGTTCATGCACTTTCTTTGTTTTCATTTCTATAAAGGGAAGGCGACAGACTGATTCCGCGGATGTTTTTTCTTTTTATATTGTTGTTGAACTAATCAAAGGATTGTCGATATAAGAAACAACTTCGGGCATGGGGCGCAAGTAAACCCAAAGCTTCTCGGAAGATATACTCGAAGACCAGAGAATCTTTGATAATTGGTGAGTATCGAAAGTTTTAACCAGATGAGGGTGTGGTATTAAGGTAAGAGAGGTGGTCATTACTCTGTAATCTTACACCCCTGAGTTACAAGAATATTATCAAAAAGGCCTCACATAATAAAACAATTATACTAATAGTTCAGGATAATTTCACTTTCCACTTATTATTGACCGAGGTGAAATGTGATAATTGAGTTACTTGTGCAGACTTCTGGCATAATAACTTTTGATGGCGTGTACAGAGTAATGACAGACGGTAGTTCTGGGTTGTCGTTCTGGAACCAAACGTGAGATTCTCGTTGTCGCTCGTCTTGTCTTCCAATTCGGAATGCTGATTCCCATACGCTTATAACGTACTCTAAGACTACATGGTAGGCCCGAAATTGTGTCTGATATGTTTTAATCAGTGGCTTCTTTGCTATGTCAATATAGATAGTCTATGAGCCTCTGCATACTTGGATTTTCTGTGGCGTCAATGTAAATGCAAGTCGAGTAACATATAAATTGAAGGAATTCTCCCTCTCGATTACGCTTTGCTGAAGCTCATGTGTGCGGTACTCGAGTATTGCGGAAGTAAACTTGAAGTTCATGCTATCATCGATCTCGCCCAGGGTTCGTTTAAGACTGTCAAAACTTGTTAAAATTTCTGGAGCGCGAGGCCAGTATCCAATAATACGGTCTTTACTTGAGAGCGGATCTTTCAAAGGCAGGGAGAGTAAGAATAACATACTGTATGCGACGGGAAAACGTCGGCTATCGCTGTATCGAAGCCCACCAAAACAAATGTCCTCCAACCAATCAGAGCTCCCCGCGCAGCCCCAGCCCCACAAATGTCGCAAAACAGTATTCATATCACGAAATGCCACAATCACCGTCACCAAAACTGGAATTAAACCTGTCCGCCTGGCCCAGTCAGTTAGTGTGTGTCCCCCTCCCCCAAAACCCATAAGCGCCACCCACAGAAAACCTGTTTCCGCCCATCCCCCACCTCCCCGCACGAAAACCTCCCTCCCCCCACGAAAATACCCCTTAAAAACCCACCCCTAACAGTGGGTTTTCTCCTGGGGAGCCTCTTAGCAACAGTGCTAGGAGGCCTAAAGGTTTTGTGTTTTTTTTCTTTTTTTTTTCCTAATTTAATACTATTTTTGTTATTTACTCTATTTCTCCGCCATGAATCGCCATGAGTAATAGTTACAAATGATTACGAAAGGTGAGACGTTGCAGTGAATAGCCAGAAGGCTGAACACAAAAGGTTAGGTGACGAAGACTACCAATAGCTGAGTTCATGTTTGAAGGCACTGTTGCGAATGAGTCTACTACGCGGGAAATATGCCGGACGGACTCTGAGCCCCGATCAAAATGGTGTAAATCTACGTGTAACATGGAATACTGGAAAGTTTTTGTTAGAAGGTGATATGGTACTTATACTTACTTTCATTGTTGTTCGAGCCAAGGTTCGTAGCTGTTAGACCACCTAGGCACCACGAACTACATTTAAGCTGAAAGTGATTAGACCGAAGAAATGAATCTTGAAATGTGCGGGTATAGTGCAAGTCATTGTCATATTTATTTTATGTTCTGGAGTATAAATACCTAGCTCTAAAAAAACACAGATTCCCGAACCACCAAATACTTCACAACGTTTCTTGGTGTTCACATTGCGATATTTGGGCACTAATCTTCGGGGACACAGATTGTATTAGGGAAAAGGTAATTTGATTGTATAGATTTGAAATAAAACCAGACAATTGTGAAACTTGATAGTGTAGGAATAAAGTGTACTCTCAAATGTTGAAGTGAAACGGGGCTCTGTGCTCAAGTGTACCAAGTTGGTTCAGGTATCTGGCAGAGTCAATATGATTTCAAACAAATTAAACGAGAAGACTTACTTTGTCAAGTAAGGCATATTCGCCAACTTCTCGATTCTTATACGCCACTGGATCATGAAGACTATGCGTCCTCACATCTCTCCAGAATCGGTCGAGACCAACTTTTTTACCAGTAGCACGAGCACCGGTGACCTCAAATACACCAGCTGTAACTCTCAAAGCGGTATCAGTTGTAACCACCTTTGTGCTGGCTACCCATTCTGCAGCTTCCCCCCTTTCCCTCCCGGTGATTCCCCTCTTCTCGCCATGCTTGGTGTAAACACCGGCTATTTCAGAGCCAGCACGGTCAGCCAAGGCCTCTGCGGCTCTAAGATGGGCGAAGAAATTGCCATAACGTTCGAGAATATAGAACTCCTCAGTTGGAGATTCTTTGTTATCTCCACCATATGGCCAAGCACGTGTGGAGCTTTTAGTATATTTGGCGGCGAAGTTCAACGATCCAATGGCAATTCCGAGGTAAAAATTGGAAAACACTAGTTGAATTGTGGGAAGAAGAAGGGTGGCGAAAGTAATGTTGAGAACTTTTGGGTCGGGTTTTTTGGTTGCAACATCCCATCCGAGTGCGTCTGCCCAGGGAACCCTAACATCACTAATCTTGACACTTCCACTTTCTGTCAAACGAAGACCCACGTTGTCCCAGTTATGCTAGCACGTAGCTGGTAAGATAAGAGAGGTAGTGTGGCTTTTGGGTTTCGGCTTACCGCAAATTGAATCCCTGCTTGTTCTGTTTTAACGAGTGCAAATATATGATGCTCGGTGCCATCGAGGACACCCTCAAGAACCGTCAAGTCTGAGACCACACCCCCGGTATTGAAATGCTTGTGGCCATTAAATAACACATGGTCTCCATCATCCGTAATCTTGAGATCATTATCTCGAGGGTTCACCGCTCCTATTATGGGTCAGTAATTATCGTTGAAAGATCTTGGATAGACTGAACCTCCAACAAAAGAGTTGTTCTCAATTATTAATCTTTGAATCCGTTCCTTCTGCTCATCCGTACCCACAATATCTGCTGTGGTAGACCACAGTAAGTGATACCCAAGAAGCATTCCAATGCTTCCATCCCCCTTCGCAACCTCTCTAACTACTTTGTAGCCAACTTCCCAAGTCTGGCCACCTCCACCAAAGGAAGTCGGCCCTAAAACTTTCAAAAGACCTGAGCTCTTTAAAAGGGAGATCTCTCCCTTGGGGGACTTGTTCTCGATATCTCTCGCTGCTGCATCCCCAGCGAGAATTTCGGATACTAGACTTGCCCTTCGAAGCCAGCCTTCAGCATTTTTCGGAAGACTCTCGTTTGTAAACTTTTGGTGGTGAACATCATAGGTACTGGGGTTAGATGCACGAATTGATGGTGGAGATTTCTGAACTGGGAAGGAAAATTCTCCAGTGCTGGTAGTGTCTTGGGTGAGCGACGGAGCCATTGCTGATTTTTTGATAATTGTGTATTTTAGAGAAGAATCTACTTTCAGAATAGTCTCTCGTACCCAAGTCAAAAGTTGGAACAACAGAGGTAATATAGACTGGCGACCATATAAAGTTGCAACTACGTCTTTACTATATCTCGGCTGCATGATGCAATCCACGCCAACATTAGAAAACCAACGAAACTTCGGTTGCGTATGAAGCTACACGATAATAATATTGGCGTGGGATTGCGTAATACTAGCTTCTGCGATGTAACACGGTCGGTTTCGCTGCGTAACAAGGGCAATGGCTGCTATGTGAAAGCTCGGGAAAGCTTCCCGATTGGGGAATGAGGGTTACTGTAGAGAGGACCACTGTAAGTACTGCACTGTATCGATCCCCAGCCACGTCAACATATCGTAATATCTAGCAACGTACCTTGATAAATACTGCATACATTATTTTCTTTTGTTGCATATCGAGAACCGCTAAGTAGACAAAAAAGTACTATATCACACACTTATTAAGACAAGAGCTCTATGTACGAACTGTACTATGCGCTAAAGATATCGCGACAGGGAGGTCGTGACAGCAAAGAAGCGACGATTAACGGTCAATTTACGATTGACACTTCAGTTGAACCCAAGTTTGGGATCGAGATGACTCTACTAAACCCTAAGGGCTTGTGCAACTTGTAAGAACTGTATTATTGCCCTAACGCCCTTCCGCAACAGAAACTCGTACCCTTAGCGCGAGACTTAACTCCTTAATTCGGTTCGGGGTAGTAAAATATCTAAAGTATGAGTAGGTAGACTCTGGAGGACATAATTTCTCAATTTGGTTAGAGGCGACGTAGAATAATAAGATATCGAAAGGTTTCTCGAAATTCCGCCAAAGCCCGAAACTTTTACCCTCGTACTATATCTTACTAGATTCCGGGTGAAACCGCCAACCGAACTTGAGTTTGGAAGTTTCTGATTGTTTATGTCTTGAGATTATTTTTATACCAACTATAAAACAAATCATAGATAGGCCACGGGAGAGACTTATGTTTTGCACAGAAACTCGAGTTATTTGGGCTACACTTCCTAGGTGTCTGTGGCGGTCAGATAACCACATTTCCTACTATCATTAGCTATAACACGCCGAATTTCAGCCACAACGACTAAAACTCACTACTTGCCAGTTCCAATAGATCACAACACAATTTAGGAACAATATGAAATCCCTGATCAAGCCCTCTGAATCTTTCCAAACTAACTGACGGAAATGGGGTTTACCGTTTATGGTTAGGGTTCAAGTAGGGTTAGTAGAGCATTTTTACCAAGTCCACGGCGGCGTGGCTGTACATGCAGTGCGGTGTTTAGCGAGAAAGTGCCTAAAGCTTAAGCCCAAATACAGTTAAATGCGAATTCTTTAATTGTTTAGTTTGGTTCAGTCCCTATCTGTATTTTATAGCAACGTAAAATTTCTCTTCAAAATCAAATTCAGGATCCTTATAGTAAGATTTGGATTCATTATAGCTACGTACCTTATTACCTTCTACACCCCTCGAGTCCCTCTTTATGCTTGAGGGCAGCCGGTATAGGGTATTTAGGTCCGGGCAGTTAATATTCCTCATTCTACCCTACGTTTATAATTCTCGTTCTTTCTGTCGTCAAGACAGAATTGTCGCTACTGGAAGAAAGGTTCCGGGTGCCATGGTATAGTATTACAAAATGCGGGGGTTCGTCTTGCCCGATCATCACGCTCGTGCCATGTAATCCACTTGTCCCTTACAGGCTTTGGCACCCGTCAACCCAACACCCCCCACACGCGTCTTAATCGAAAAGCTATTTTCATAAACGATTCCGTGGTGAGTGGATCAACCGATCTGCTGGTCCTGTTACCACCAATCCTTTTGACGTGGGATTTGCGTTTGAGTTTAAAAAAGAAGATCAAGATTATTCTGTTGTTAGGTGCAGGGGGGTTAGCTACTGGAACAAGTTTTTTGAGATTAGGCTTGTTGCTCAAGCCACACCGTTTTGACGACTGTACCGTTTCTTTTGTTACGTATAATCTTCTCGCGTAAGTGATATGGGACAGTAAGAATATATTAAGAGTGCTAATTTAAGTCAGGCTTAGCGAGGTTGGTATAGCTCTCGTATGCGCATCTCTTCCTTCGATTCACAGCCTCTTTTACCAAAGAAGTTTCTCGACACCGCCGTGCAAAGCGCTTTTTGCCTGTTGATACAACCACCGATCCAATCCAAGATTCTTTCGCCCTGAAAACACTTAGCAATATTAACTCGACGGTTTGATAACAAAGTTTACCATGGAATCTGTGGTGCGAAGGAGATATCGGTAGTTAACATGCCGAAGCGGCATCATATGAGGACAAAGAGGAAGGTGTTCGCTGAGAACCATCTGTTGATGTAAAGACGGTTTTGACAAGGTAGTGCAACTTTGGGCTCCAGTGTATACACAGGTCGGTAAGCATAAGTGCCCTCCTCGTTAAACTTAATCTATAGCTGAATATTTTCTAGAAGTCGCTCCCTATCACTCATACAAAGACGACTTCTACTTCGAGAATGACTCGAAAACCTCCATCTACATAAGCGTTCTATTATCTCCTAAACTCTACTCAAGAGATTTGAAGAGCCCAAAGAGGTCCTGTTCTCATATTCACGTTGCCATCGATGTTATTTAGAATGGGCCATAAATATTGTGGGTCTGAAAGGTACTTTTTTTTGGACCAAAAGCTGCATTTCTTTCAATTCATACTTTTAAATAACCTTTCCGAATAACAAGCTCATCTACGTATCTGATAGTCAACATTATAACACTTGTAGTCGACTCGAAATTGGCTCTTTGAAGACTTTCTTGTTACCAACATCAACGATACTATGCATCCTTTTCCGCGCTACCTTTTCTTGCCTTCGCAAAAAACCTCGAAGTATCCCCCATTGGGAAATGCCAAAATAAAGCCACCTGGCACATCAAATTTCCCACCGTATAATAACCCAAGAGTCCTGCCAGAAATGCGAAAACCCCGCCGGTCTTCTTCAGCGCTGTTGCAGCGGAAGCATGGCCATCGGCAGTGGCAAAATACGACCCAGCTATAAGAACGAAAGCCATTTCGACGAAGAAGAACATTCCAATATACACCAGATTTCTATAGATTTTAGTGGATGTACAGAGTTAAAGGGACAAGGGATCTTACGTTGGAAGACTTCCGAATAAGAAGAAGAGATTTAGAACAGACCACATGAGGACGAAGAATCCGAGAGCATTGTTGTATTGTACTGTGTTAGTGCCGTAGGCATCTGTGACGCCAAAGCTCGGCGTGATGATTGCTCCAAAGCCGCCATAAAATAACCCTGTTTTGTGTCAGAAGTAACGTGTAGATCAATAGACAATACTGACCGAAGGCGCTGAGTACAGTATAACCATAAGAACTGCCTAAAACCAGCTCCCATTGTGCGGATATAACCATACCAATACCAGCAACTGCAAAATATTAAACTTTTGTCGAGATTTAAGCGTCAAAACATAGAATACAAACCGAAAAAGAAGTTGCCGATGTATACATTGGTCGTAGTAACTCCTCTGAACTCCATCAAGCTCAGGGATAGAGTTGTAAGTGTCGTCGAGAAGGCACCGATGGCCAAAGCGGTCTTTTGAAATTAGTTTGCCATTCTCCATCAGAGTGTGTAACTAACCGGACTCCCAAGCGTACTCTTCACAGTACTGGGCACAAAGTAAGGATCCGGATTTCTATGACCGGTGGGCGAAAATGCACCGTTTCCGGCTGTTGTCGTTGGTGTGAGTTTGGTGTAAATCTGACTCTTGATATTATCGTGGTTGTTTTGTTCGGCAGCATGATGCTCTATACTATCTTGAGAAGCCATGATGGGAAATGCGAGATCACTAAAGTTTATTTTCGTCTTTTGTGTCACATTCATGGAGGATTTCACGGGATATAAGTCTAAGGGTAGAAGTATGTGTTGAAACGGATGATAGTTTCTTTTACTCAATCTTTTGCTTAAGATGCTATATTTGTGGTAGATGACGAATTATTAAACTTTCCTCTTGTACCTCCATCACAAAAGACTCGTGGAAGGCATCGGATAGCTAAAGGGTCTGGACAGCTCGGGTCTCCCCCCGCACCCTCTGTCACTTTCTGACCCACCTCCACACGAATCTTAGAGAGTCATATTGTAGGGTTATACCCTGCCTATAATGAGTCGTATACATGGGAGGGCGACGCGAGCTGTCCAGAACCTTTACCTAGCTCTAGAACTTGAAGGGTAAAAAGTGGGGTATAGTTGCACATTTGCGTGTTAATCACGCAATTTCATTCAACATAAACTCATCCAACCTAAATACGGCCACCTCATCTAACAGGCTGCCCCAAGTTTGAAAATCGTATCTTAGAAAGAACGCTTCCGTGTTATAATCTGGATCCAATTCCCTACAGGGAAAAGCTGTAGTACAATGACTGTCTTACCTGCTTCAGCATTGTATGATATCCGAGAACTATGCCGACCCTACCTAAGAACTACATTTCTCAGTCAGTCAATCAATCGTTGACACCCCCTAAAACCCCTCCTCCAGAATGCGCACTGTCGATTTTCCACAGTTGGCCGGAGCCAGAGACTGAGCCCGAACAGTCCCCAACCTTTTATCAGGAACCCTCACGGAAATTCATTGTAAACCATATAAAAGTGGACGATGATAGGTTTAAACTACAGAATCAAGAAGTTTTGCTTTTACACGGGCCAAAGCAGAGATATGAGCATACCAGCGGCCAGCCGATTCCGGAGCTGCAGTCAGAATCTGATATGCTTGTAGCAGTTGAAGCAGTTGGGTTGAATCCAATAGACTGGAAGGCGCCGTAAGAAGTTCTTATCCGTCCAAATTTTAATTCACTGATCATGTTTTTAGGGATTATGGCTATGGTCTGCCAGCATTGCCTTGTATTAGCGGTCGTGATTTTGCAGGAACGGTGGTGAAACCTCCCAGGGGAACATCACGGTTTGAGTTTGGTGAGAAGGTAAGTTATTTGCGACCGAAACAACCAAAATACATCCGTACTAATCTGAGAAAGATTATGGCTATATCGACGGACTATCGCGACAGCAAACGATCTGCATTTCAACAATATGCTCTAGTTTCAGACTTCAATGCTTGCAAATTACCCGACCGAATAAACACAATGGAGGCTGCACCTCTAGGAGTTGCTTTTGTAGCAGCATCAATTGCTCTCGGTGTGTGTCTTGGGGTAAACTTTTCATCTGTTGACCGTGGACCATGCGGTATAGATCTCCTCCAGACTGTGAGATCAATTTCTCGCGATTCCTTACCTCCGGATATTAGGACAGAATGCTTCGATGGGATAAGAACTCAAGACAGACCAAAGAAAGGAGATTGGATTGCGATATGGGGAGGTGAGGTTTCGCATCGCGATGAAATGTATAGACGCTGATCGAGTATAGCTTCATCGGCCAGCGGATGTTGTGCAGTTCAACTTGCCAAACTTGCCGGATTACGGGTCATCGCAGTCATCGACGTCGCACGAAGCGGGGAAAGAATGCTCAAGCATGGTGCTGATCTTCTTGTGGATCGCTTCGATACTAAACATGCAGTCAGTATCATACAGGGTGTAACCAAGGGGAGGCTGAGGTATGGTCTAGACACTGTCGGCAAGGAAAGCGCCAGTCATCTTTCTGAGGCGATGCAGAAAGGTGACGGGAAAAGCAGTGATATGATACATAAAGATGAGGTACCAAAGGGACACATTGTTGGTCTCACAGGCATACCGAAGCAAACAGGAGGCCAAGTAGGCTTTCATTCAGTACCTATCAAACTTTTTCACGAGGTCTCAACAGTTGGGCAAGGCCTGATGGTGTGGTTAGAAGAACTGCTAAGGCAGAAAGTTCTTTTGACGCCAGACATTGAGGTTGCGCCGGGTGGGTTGAAAGGCATAAACTCTGCTTTAGATAGGCTTCGAGATGGTAGTGTGAAAGGGCCTAGACTTGTTGTGCCGTTAACAACCTTATGATGGTTGTATCTGTATACCGGTATTTTCATTAGCGAATAGAGACAGATACGCCGTTCAGATGTTTGTTGTGTTTCTGAAGTCAATATCTTGTGACAGAGGGTGGGGGGATGATCCTTAAGCATCTTCAGCGGGACAGAAAAGACGAGAGTCACTCTTTCTCCTTTCATGGCTACTCGAAGTTTTCAACCCAGCTCTTCCAGGATCGTCACTTTGACTGATAAAAGGCGCTCGACCAATGGTTCAATCACTGAAATGAGAGTTGTACAAAGCTATGTACAGCTACATTTCTGTCATTCTGACACCTCAGGGGCGACGTTCAAGCACAGACCACTTCGGCTAACTTTCCTTTTGGAATTCGTAATAATAGAGTTCTGTTAACAATTTACTATCTCATATTGCACCATATGTGGCTATATACCTTGTTGAGCACATCATTGATCTAGCTTATCGCGTCGTATGCCGCGTCGATCTATGCATCGATATTTGCACATATGGGGAAAGATGGCGGGGTCAAGTACCAGGGATTTCCAGCCCTATGGGTATACTGCTGGACATTTTCCGTGGCGGGGTATTATATATGGAGCTATCTGCGGTCGGGAGACTTCATACCTTTCATATATGCTCCATCCTCTTCAAATCTGTGTCCAATATTCATGGTAGCTCAAAATGGCTGAACCTTTCACCGAAGCCCAACTCCAGGCGATTTCTGCAATCGTCCAACAAGCAGTTTTCCCTCACAGGACCAAAGAAACGACCAATGTCAACTCAGTAGATCCACAAACAAATGGATATCACTACACAGCGCCAGAAGATATTAATGATTCTCCTGGTCGAGTCAAGTTTGTACCCCGAATGCGGGTGTAGTAAAGGACACTGTATTCTGACACAACCAGATTTGCGTACTGGGTGCCAAATGTATCTGGGGGATTGGTTATATCTAAGATTCCACAAATGACAAAGTTAGAATTCATTGTCAGCTGCTCTCAAATATCTGACTCATGTGTAGATGGGATTACGCTTCGAATGTTAGGTATGCGAAAACTGCCGAGAGAGTTGGGTTCGAATATGCCTTAACTCAAATTCGGTTTATGGCTGGGTATGGTGCGGTAAGTTTCTGATATCTAAAACCGAAAGAAGATCATTAACTGACATATCTTTGCAGGAAAATCAGCATGGTGAGTGCCAATTTCTCTGAGTAGAAAGTCTGCTTTGATGTGGTTCCTAAAAGAAAGGGCTTTTTAGAAGCCAATATCTCCATTATCATTTTTGCTCATCAAGTTGAAGTATACTGACTCTAATATTATGTTCAGAATCCGTCTCATTCTCGCAAGCACTACTTCACAATACGACCAAACTCAACGTGATCGCAGCTCTGCTCCCAGGTCCTTGGAACCCGGCAGTAGCAGCAAAACAGATTGCGAGTATAGATCATTACACCAATGGCCGGATATCTGTCAATGTTGTATCAGGATGGTTCAAAGCAGAATTTACGAGTATTGGTCAATGGTGGCTAGAGCATGCCGAACGTTACCGGTATGAGAAGACATTGACTGTCTACAAGCTGTATCTGACAAAGTTTTAGGCGGAGTAGAGAATTCATCGAATGTTTGAAAGGAATTTGGACAACAGATAGCTTTACGTATAAGGGCGACTTTTACCAATTCCACGAATATCCCCTCTCTCCAAAGCCGTTAGTCATCCCCGGACGACCGCATCCACTTGTGTTTCAAGGGGGGAACTCAATCGACGCTAGAGAGAACGGTGCCAACGCCTCTGATTATTATTTTATGAACGGCAACACTCTTGAAGGGTTTCAAGAGCAGATCGCAGACGTACGTGCTCGAGCTAAGAAAGTCGGTCGAGAAGACGACATCAAGTTTGCTGTCAACGGATTCTGTATCGTCAAAGAAACCGAAGCAGAGGCCATTCGCCTACTCTCTGAAATCCAAGGGAAAGCGGATAAAGATGCTGTGGCTGCATTTGGCGATGCTGTCAAGCAGGCAGGTGCAAGCACTAGCAACAAAAAAGGAATGTGGGCCGACAGCAAATTCGAGGACTTGGTTCAGTACAATGATGGTTTCAAGACTAAATTAATTGGAACAAAAGAACAAGTCGCGGATCGCATGTTGTTGTTGAAAAGCCTGGGTATTGATATCGTGCTGTTGGCCTTTTTGCATTACGAAGAAGATATCAGCAATTTTGGGGAGCAAGTGCTTCCCCTGGTGAGAAAGCTGGAGAAGAAGGGCCGTGGCAAGAATGCAGCGGATGAAATCGAGAGGACTGGCGAAGTATACGCGGCGAAGAAAATTCAGTAGTGTTTCACTCGGTATGCAGTTTATTTTACTTGATGTTGTTTACTTATTTTTCAATCGATGTCCCGACAGTCTGGAAGCCTTTACAAGCCATTGTTATGATTCAAATCATTAGATGCTAATTGTTACATGTATTGATACATACCATCTCTCGCGCGCAAATTTAATACACGTGGATTATTGAAATGCCCCGCTGATGTCGCCTCGGTTCCTCCTATCAATATTTGTTCGTGTATTAAATTGAAACAATGCTCTAGATTTCTTGTATGTGGCGGTTCTAGTACATGATCCCTTCGGAGAATTCCATTGTTCATTGGAGGAATCTTGGGTTTCGGTCGAGTCAAGAATGACATCAATGAGTGCATTCCTCTTCTCTCGCTTATCTATTTGAAGAAACACCGAGCAAAGATTTATACTTTCATCGTCGCCATTGTTTTCGACTCATCCAACTCACCAGTGACTTGCTAAATCATCAAGATGTCTTTTCCCATATTTGTTTTACTTTCTCTATGTGCCTCCATTGGCTATTCCCACACCAATGTCTTACAAGCTCGGGATTGTCATGAGGACAATTGTAAGAGAGAAATTTTCGGGACAGATGCCCATATAACGCCTGCTCTTGCCTCGCGAATTGCAGATTGTTCCAGTTAATTGGCGGTTACCGTTATTCCTGGCACCACAGCTACTGCCTCTGCGATTCCAGCCTAAGTAACGCCATTTTGTCAACCTGCAGAATATAGTAGTGCGTGCTCTTGTGGGGGAATCACACAAACAACCATCACCATAAATGCAACTACTGCCAGTCCTCAAGCATCATCCAGCACGATTTCTTCAGTAGCCACCTCTTTTGAATCTTCATCCACAAATTCGACTACAACAAGTTCCTCATCGACAAGTTCATCTCCATCAAGTTTACCGACACCAAGCTCATCGTCGGCAAGTTCGTCGTCAGCCAGTTCATCATCCATAGAAAGCTATTGTATCACCACAACCACATGCTTTCCGCTCACAAGTACGGCCGCGTCTTCTTCAGAGAGTACATCTTCTGATTTGCCATCTTCATCATCATCTACTTCTGAAGTTTTGTCAACGAGCAGCTCATCTGATCCAGCAACCTCCCCTACATCATCTGGCAGCTCATCCACGCCAGTATCCTCTTCTGAAATATCATCCTCCGAGGCATCTAGTAACTCACCTACACCTTTTTCATCTTCTTCATCAACGAGCTTATCTGATACTGAAATTTCCTCCGCGATTGCCGCTACAATCATCAGATCATCATCCGTTTCGGAGACATCAACATCGTCTTCATCTTCATCTTCATCTTCATCCTCATCCCTATCGCCAACGTCATCCACAATATCCTCATCTGCGTCATCTTCTTCCTCATCCGAAACTTCGACATCGTTATCGATGAGTTCTTTACTTCCTTTTACATTTGTCCAAGATCAAGACGCGGGCGACGCCTTGAGTACAGCGGGTAGGTAGAGAGACGAGCCATTTCTAGAATAAGAGCACAGCTAACATAAGAGCTACGCTAGCATCAACTGGAACTACCACCACCTTCGAATCTTCGGTGACTAGCGTCACAACCTCCGCAACCGCTTGCCCAACTTTACTGACTGACTGTGCTGGAAACTGTACCGACCTGCAGACTGGTATTGCCAATTGCGGAGGCTGTGGTAATAGGGTATGTTTACCCCAGAATTCCTCATCTTTCCGAATATAAACATTGACAACCCTTGTTCTTAGTGCCCAGCAGGGGATACATGCTTCAACGGCATCTGTACTACGGCAGCACAACTCGAGCTTGTTAATCAGAGAACTCAGTGCACCAGCTCCGCTCAATGCGATGAAGCGACACTATACTCATGTCAACCTGGTTGTGGAAGTACACGTGGTTACTGTCAACCTGATACAGATGGACAGGGAAGATGTAGAGATCCATCCTTTGACCCACCATGCAGCTCGTTAACTACGTGTGCTTCGAATGCGGAGTGTCCTGGTGGTTTTTGTATTCGTTCTTGTTGCGCGGAGCCTAAATGTTATACATTTGTTAATAGTTCTTACTGTACAAATCGAAGCTCTACCAGGAGCTTGTTCAAGTATTCAAGGAGAGACGCGATGAGGGAGGCGAAGAAGGGCAGAGGGAGTGGGAAGAAGGGCTTGACAGGGATACCAAAGACGGGATAATGGGAGAGAAAGAGGGTTCTGGAAACGAGCCCGAAGCCAGATTTTGTTATTGTCCGAATATTGGTACTAGTGTAGTGTCTGTTAGGAGGATATATATAATTACGAGCAATTTACAGTTTATTGAACTTAAATCAGACGCTTTCGAATTCCATGAAGAGAATTGGTCTAACACAACTCAGCTGACGCAAACGAAGTGAGTATGAGGTTTTATTTTGTAAAAGCAGTCGAATAAACAAAGGTGTTGCATAGAAATATTTTCCACAAAACAACTTCCAAGGTGGTTGTCGCTAAAGACCCCTTTGCCAAGACCACGCTCGGCATTAGTAGGTCCCGTCCTGACCATCTCACAGGGATGATGATATCAAGCTAGGATAAGCGATAAGAGCTCCTGATGTTTCTCGTAGCTGCATCCGCACCAACACATGCGAAGCTGACTTCTTCACTCATGATGCTACAGACAGTAACCTTCACTCCAAGATGTGCAACTTTAACTCAGACTGCGCTAAAGCCTTTCTCTGCGCAGAGGTTTCACGCCCAACACTCACCTACTTCCAATCCCTCCCCCCATCATCACAACTATAACCTTCCACAATCATTCAATCCTTTGTATAGCTCTTTACAAAGTCCTCCTCTTCGATCGACATCTATAAAGACAGTCACCATGAACCGTTTCCAACAGCTCAGATCCCTGAACACATCCCATCCAAGCCTCCAACGCCCTAGCATTCCCCGTAGCTCAACTGCTCCAGCCAGCCTTCCTACCTTTGCCTTTGCGTTTGAGTAAGTGATATACTTGGAATTGGAACCTTGATACCTCTTCCAAGAGTTTAGACTAACAAGGCCTCTATAACAGCATCGATGGCGTTCTCCTCCGAAGCTCTGCTCCACTCCCTAGAGCCGCAGAAGCCCTTCAATACCTCCACAACAACAACATCCCATTTATCCTCTTGACCAATGGTGGTGGAAAGCATGAGAGCGCCAGAGTGGCAGAATTGAGCAGTAAACTAGGCGTTCCTCTATCTATAGAAAATTTTATCCAGTCCCATACGCCGTTCAAGCAACTCGTTGAAAGCTCTGAAACAAAAGAGGGGTTGGCAGACAAGACTGTTTTGGTTACTGGTGGGGATGGAGATAAGTGCAGAAAAGTGGCTGAGATGTAAGCCTTTGTCAATTACTTGTATTATGGTATACTGATAATCATTCCAGGTACGGATTCAAGAAGGTCGTTACTCCTGGTGACATTCTCATGGCATATCCCACAATCTGGCCCTTCAATCAAATATTTTCCGACTACTATCGCAACAACACCCGACCTCTTCCCAAGCCTGTCAATCTCGACAATCTGCCCGAATCTCTCAAGATTGATGCTGTGTTTGTTTTCAACGATCCCAGAGATTGGGCTTTGGATTCTCAAATCATTCTCGACCTGCTTCTCTCAAAGGAAGGATATCTGGGTACCTATTCTGACAAGAACGGCAACTCGTCTCTACCAAACAACGGCTGGCAACAAGATGGGCAACCCAAGCTGTACTTCTCTAACCCTGATCTTTTCTGGGCCACTTCACATCATATGCCACGTCTTGGTCAAGGTGGATTTCAAGCTTCATTGCATGGTGTTTGGAATGCTACGACAAATGGTGCTACTTTGGACCGAACTATCATCGGCAAACCACACGCTGCAACCTACATCTACGCCGAGGATGTGTTGACCAAGTATCGTAACCAACTGTCTCCTGCCAGTGGGGTTAAGGCTGGTAAGTTGGACCGCGTCTTCATGGTGGGAGATAACCCAGAGAGTGATATTTTGGGCGCCAATCAATTCAAGAGTAACCGAGGAACCGACTGGACCAGCATTCTCGTCAAGACTGGCGTCTACAGAGATGGAACTGAACCTGCACATAAGCCAGTCGCTATTGTCAAGGATGTCTTCGACGCAGTTGAATGGGCTCTTGGAGAGGAGAAATGGGATGGTCGTATAGACTAAACTACGTCTTAGATCTTATGCATCTTTTACATTCTTGTACACATGTACAGCATCTACATTGTGGAACATTTGGCTTTTTAGAGCTACAATATTAGGCTGTATTTTAGAGGGGAAATTTGAAATGGGGAGCATAAAAAACATGTACAAAATGGGATAGATAGAGTGATACCAAAAATACCAAAACTTATTCGTTGCTTGACCCTTTCTGGGAAATTTGCATGTGAGAATTCTGGACATGATCTAAACTCGCCTCTTCTCTATTAACTGGGTTTCTATCAGAACGCACGGTTACTGTCAGAATTAAGTGGGAAAAAAGTACACTCTCGGAACGATGACAGTCACAACACCATGTAAGAATACTTTCCACACGCCCCTCCTACTCCCTCAACAAAATCTCATTGGGAGGCTTATTGAAGCAGAGTAATATTACCGGTGAGCTCATCTCAGCTGTTGACTCGAACCGTGGCGATATTTCCACATCGCGGCCTCGGGGACTCGCACACTCAGGGGTTTCCCCTGTGGTGTAACTCAATTTAATATATTAAGGGGGCGAGAAAAGGGTGAGAAGATTTTAATTTTCGGCTTTTGGTAAGGCATTCTCGGGTCGATGGCGAAAGATGAGGGAGGTGGTGCCATTCATGGTGGTGTGTGAAATGGGGAGTGAGCGATTACAAGAAAAAATTTGTTGGATCTGGGCTATGGATTGGATTGTTCTTGTTGACTTTCCGATTTTGGTTGGTTGTTATTGGGACTGTGGCGGAGATTGGGTGATGTGCTTGAGATGAGGATGTGTGATATGGCCAGTCTTCAATTTTGACTATTATTTTTGAAGTTCTTGGCTGCTTTATGAAATCAATCCCTTCAAACCCCCTTTTTTGCCTCCCTCGCCTCCTTGTAGACGTGAAATATTTACGGGAACTCGGCAAAGTTGTCGGTCACGTGATACTAGAGTGACAGGATGCAGGTGTATAGTCGTTTTTCTATGAACTCTTATACCAGATTTTTCTTAAGGTCATATGGCTTGCTGAAAATTCTTTTCATAAATAGCGGCTGCATCATCATCCTCGGTATAGTAAAGACCAATAAAGGTGCAGTGGAAGGAATACAAATCTTAGTGGCACGTGATGAATATTTGGGGAGATTTCCAGGGTTTCTGATGTTATTTATCTTGTTTTGTAACGTACTTCATAACTTAACCCTTGCTGGGGATTATGTAATTTTATGAGACCATTTTCATTGGAGATTCTCGGGATCTCGGGGATATCTCGCCTTCAAAGTTAACAGTAGAAGACAGGAATTACTTGTCTTTTTTGGAGAAGCGCTTTTCGTGTCGTAATAATGTTGCATCTGAAGTACGATATTTATACACCAATCCCCTCTCCTAACCTCCTCTCAGTGCTTTACCTCCCACTAAAAAAACATCACTTCCATTGTCATCGAATTGAAAGTCCAAAGCCTAACACTTCAATCCAGTGATATTTCTGTCACCATCGAGGCCCAATAAATCAATCACACCAATTAAAGACTGCCACATTCAGAACACGACAATATGCCCTCGTCAATCAAATACTTGTGGAGAAAGATATCAACCGGATGGGTCATTGAGTATCCAAGTGAGAGAAATGGTCCTGCGGACTTCTTTGATGGGAAGGATAGGAGGCCGTATGGATGGAGCGCTGAGGGAGCTGCGAGGACAGCGAAACGATCGGAATCTTCGTCAATAAAATCCTCATGTGGAAGGTCTCAAGGGGGTAGGAGCGATAGAAAAGAATGGTTGTAATGATGGATGAATGTTTGCGTGATATACACGTATGCGTCAGGTGTGTGGACCTTTGACTGAATGGATTCAGAATTAAAGGCGAGGAGCTCGATGGTATGTTAGCTTTGAGCTGGGCAGCAATAGAATGCAATAGAATTGTCGCTTCTGAATTCGCCTCGCAGTACTCTAGATCAATGTATCACAAATCCTGCTGAACAGAAAGTACAGCGAAGGGGGCTGGTTACATGAAGAATGCTGTAAATACCCGCAAATTCCTGTATATTCAATTTTTCGAAGATATACAAGGAGCTTTTGACATCATTTCCATTTTATTTGTAGTTCTGGAATCATTGTATATGTATCTATTGAACTGGGAGAAAACCTTCAAAAAAAATAAGTTTGGGAGTCGGAAACATGTTTTGCAAGAAGTTCGGGTGATTACACCTATTCCCCACGCATCCATTCTGCCGACTGCATTGAATACAACCAGCAAGGCTTATATGTCTACTGTCGCAGTGAAAGCTTGGATATGAAGTATACTGTTACATCATGCAGCCACTTTTTGTCACGTAGTGATGTGGAAGTGAGCTTCAACCTCTTTCGCGTGCAAGTGTTCTTTGGTGTGCATCACCAAGAACCTATCCTTCCGTATGTACTACTATGTAGTGTTCCACTAAATTGCTCGATCCAATTGATCTCCACATCAGGCAATACTTGCCTGTTTCTGCTGCATCGTACCGCCTCAGCTTCATATGCGCTACCCATGAATCCTGAGAAACGAGGGGAAAGCTCGATCGTAATTTTCAAATAGCGAGGTTGGTTTTCGCCTAGGCGTTTTCTTCTCACCGTTACGTCTCATCCTAGACTTTTACTCGGAAAAGGCTTTGGTAGCAAAGTGCCCAATAACTTTTCATCGACTTAGGCTCCTTCGCATGACCGACTTGAGTATGCAAAACATCGTCAGTATATTTATTCATGACATAGCAGGGTCCATTGACGTGCTGGCGCTCATTTCTCGTGCTAAAGATACTGTAGCAGGCAATTGGAGTTGTTCAAATAGACCACGAATACAAATACATCGGGTACCAGTGACGTGTACTTGGGAGGAACTTGGCCGAAGCCACGCTTCATGCTGTGAAGCAGACTGAAAAGCATGCCTGAGCCAAAATATTGTGGTATCGACAGAAAATCTGCCTAACCACAGTACAACGTTGCGTCGGACTGCAAGTTCATACTTGCGGGATCCATTGAAGGATTGAAATTAAGCGACATTTTACATCTAACTTCCTCCTCCTTACGTAGAAAGAAATTGTAAATACCGATTGAAATATTCAAAAATGACCACGCATATTTGCTGGGACAGGAACAAAATCAGAATATGATAAACTGGTTCAAACAACTGAACGTAAATTCTAAAACTTATACACTTGATCCTCAACCTCAAAGATCTCAATAACAAGACTCTAATCTTCCTCGGGAGCGAAAGCGCCCCAGCAACTTAACAGAACCATGCTCTTTTTGTTTTTCTCAGTCAATTATCCACATTGGCGAGTAGATCGGGAATTGCCAAAATAGTGGCCACGTTGTCCGTTTGTTCAATAGACACCCAAACTCCCCTTGTAAGACCTACCCTTCCATTCGCCTCAGCTCCACACACCCAAAATACAAATAATAACAATATAAACAGTAAATCCAAAATGAACCTCGGACCAGAAGCATAAAGTCCTCATCTCTCCAAACTTAATCACGCAATATTCCTTCTGTCTTCACAGCTTTACGCTGAGTGGGGGCTACTTCTTCAACAAATATGATTCGTTTTGTCCGGCCGCAATCAAAATTGAATGCAATTCGGTTTCAGTCCCTCTGCGCTGATCCGAGATTTGGGGTCGATCACAATCATCCGATTCTCGATTATATCTAGAATTTCAGAAAGGCATCTGGAGCAGCGGTCGTTTTGAGGAAGACCGTAAATCCAGTCTTTGACACTTGCACGCACTGGAGCACTATCAGCGACTCCACGTGGTCCTCCGTTGTCAGTGTAATAATAATCATCATCCCACCCATAAGCGCCTTTCACCATTCTTTTATCGGAAAGGCTTTTTAGACCATCCTTACCCGTACATAGCCAAGTAACGAACTCAGGAAAGGTACATCCCAAACTCCAAATGTCGTAAGCTCTGGATACTAAAATCCCAGTAACAAGTTTAGGAGGCGAGTAAGTTGCCGAACCGCGCATGCCAACTGGATTCTGTAGAGACCGAGACTCGATACGATGAAAGCGGCCTAATCCAAAATCTGCAATCTGCAGAATGCCCTCTGTACCACTTCCTTCTGATTCATCGACAAGTAATATGTTTTCTGGTTTGATGTCGCCATGTCTTCCAAAGGTCTCGTCAGTGGGTATGTCAACGAAATTACTTGGAAGTGTCGGATTTCGTAGATTGCTGATATTCAATGTGGCAACTTGGTTCCGCGCTGAACTCGTAGTCTTCTTTGGTTCGAAGATGTGAATAGCAGCTAAAGCAGATGCCAAACCTTCGATTTGATCAATAACCCAAAGCAAGAATTCTCCATTTAGGTCTGACATATCTATAGAGTTCCAGAATTGCCGAAGGTTCGCTTTGGCATATGGGAAGACAGAATGGTATTTGTTTCCTAGGCTGTATGTGGCAAGTAATCCCATTAGATGCGGATGGTGTTTTGTTGTGAGTGCTTGGAGTATTCGATTTTCCTGATTGAAATCCACGTCTTTGAACAATCTTTTAATGGCGAGCTTTGGCTCCTGAGCAGTGTCAACACATCAATCCGTTTTCTAAGAGAATGATCTGAAATACCTGATCGTTGTTTGAACGGATCAAGTTTTGATGGGAAGGATGGATTCGCACACTCCATACTTCCCCATAGCCCCCACCCTCCTTCTCATCTTTCTCGTTATTTTCAATAAATGGCATAATAACACGGTCTGGGAGAGCCAGATGAGGTATTTCTCCATGGAAACTCATGAATCGCGGCGCTTGAACCGACCATTGGTCACGCTGAAGAGTTTGAACGTCGTGTGCTTCCCAATTCTGCAACAGTGGCAGCCCGCAATTCTCATGACTTTTTTGTACGTAGCCCTTGTGGTCCCGATTGCAGAGAACGTATGAATTTCCTCGGATGTATCCCCGGCAGAAAGGAAGCTCTTTGTCGTGGAATGCTTCGTGTAAGAGGATCGTTTTGGCTTTTTCCCAATCCACGTTCAATTTAAAACCAACCAGGAGGATGAAGAGCCTTTTCTTGGAAGCGCAAATTTTTCTGGCATAATAATGACACTTTTCGTTATCTCTGGCCAGGTCGGAATGTTCTTTTTTCAAGTGAGCCACAATAACGTCATGCTCAAGGGCGTTGATCAAGTTATCTGGAATAAAATAATCATCCGAGCCCCTAGGCGACTCAACTTGGAATCCTAGAATCAGCTTTCTTAGCTTGTGTCCATTGGCAAGACCTTCCAAGAGGTGGAACTTTTCACTCATATCGAAAGTCCACTAAGTGCCAGTTGGAGACTGCCAATTGTTTCTGTGCCAGAGATCAAATTAGGATAAGGGGCAGATGATTAGGATAGTACGCGTTTGTATTGGCTGGTAAGATTTTGCATGTCTAAGATCTACCTCCGCAGTAACGCCCGGCGACGGACAAGTTTATAAGGCTTTCACCCAAGGCGCGCATTCACGGTCAGAGCCTCATTCAAGAACCAGCCTTGTGGAAGATTAGTGTGGGGGGTATAAAAGTGCACACTATTATTGTGTGGAAAGGGAAATGTGGATTTGGTGGCACCATAAAACACTATTAGCATAAAGGTGTGCATCAGAAATAAACCCGGATAAGCTTTGATTGGAACGCTCGCCTGCTAGGCGACTATATTCCTTGGACCCATTGTCCAACCAGATATCATTCTTACATCGGGGCTTGCGGGCAATCTTGAGTAGGATTTTTCGGTGTAAGATCTGACGTATGGTTATTTCCATGCCCTCTACCGCCTTGCTGAAGTTCAAAAATATGCCGAGCCCTTTCCATGGTTGTATCAACAGCCACCGACTCCATATCGTGATGAAATGGGCCATTTGCACTGGCTTTTTTAGGATTGATTTCCCAAGGCCAGTGCAAGTGACAAGAAATCCAGGCCCAGAACTTTCGGAAAAATCTGCCTGGTAGAATGCTTTAATCTCTTTCTCTCATTTCTTTCTGATTTTTCATTGCATATAATGAGCATCCTTTCCATATAATCACAGTCACTATAGTGAGTGGTACAGATATTGTTACGAGCAACCACGCTTGAGAGATGATAGACAGACATCCTTGATCATCGACTTGTACCAGTTGCGTCGAAAAGAAATTCTCTTATAGTTAGCGCTGAAGACAGAAGACAACGATCTAGCTTACCCGAACTACTGATATCGGCAAATATATTAGGGTAATGACAGTTAGAATCTTCATAGCTGTAATCTTTTAGATCAAATAAAGTTCATTGCAAACAAGCTTTCTCACCTGCAGCATCTTGAGCGCTTCTTTCCTGAGCGAGTATCAGTTCATGTATGAGTATGAGTATGAGTATGAGGGTTGATGTGACGAGTTCCACTTACAGTTAACAGCCTCATCTTGTTGTTTTCGTCTTTTGATTCTTGGACCAAGCCATGCAGAGCTTGCGAATTCTCATAATCGAGGATATCTGACAGCTACTTTTTGTTAACTGTTTTGTCCAAGTCCTGTTCGAGAAAGGTCAAATTACCAGATGAGCAGTTCCTTGGACTCGCTGGTGGAGAACTTCTACTTTCTTCAGGTTCTCTCTAATTTCACATATCTGTTCTTCAAACTCCTCAATTACCATCGAGCATATACATTCCAAACACCTTTCGGGAACGCAGTGGATCTTGTATTGGCGTTGCAACCTCAAAAGTGTGTTTTGAGATGACTCAAATACTGTGATGAGATCGAGAACCTGATCTTCAATTTTCTTGAGCTTTTGGCGATCGATGAACTTAACTACAAAATCGTCCGGAGGGCTCAAGCGTTCCTGTTGGCTTCTTACTTGTGTCAAAGTGACAAGGTCCGACTAAAATACATTGAATATTAGTAGACCTGTTGAAAGAGGTCTCTGCACCATCTACTCACTTGTTCTTTCAAACCAAGTATTAAATCTCTAATGTAAAAACGCCAATTTTCATGTTGGCTGGCAAGAATCATGCGGTGAATGTGAAAAGGATTTAAGTCTCTTTCGCCATTGTCAAAATACCGTTTCATTTCACGCTGAAGTAGTTTCTCCATAGTTTTGGAAGGAGAGACCATGAAGAAAGTTTATTTGTCAAGTGCGTGATTGTATTGTTGATACACGGCTGTCTGTCTGATAGACCATTGATCGTAGCCTGGGTTATTGGTAGCTCCTATGTTTCGATGGTTCAACTCAACATATTGAATGTTGTAAGCACATTCTATGGTATATTAGAAGTTAGATTTTCCGAAATAAAAACGGCATACCAAAATCTCCAAGCTTCTTTTTAGGTCTTAGTAGGACAGGCATTGACTGATGAAAACGAATCGGTGCATGTTCAATATCCGAGTCTCGAGTTCGGAAACCGAACGGGAGCATAAAATCCCATATGCGATCGAAGACATTATAAGTCAGAAGAATTTGCCGAAAAAATGTCCGTGAGATCTTGAGTCGAGTATGCGAATTTTTACGACCAATATAGAAGATCTGAAATGTATCGTCGGATCGCTTCGAGGATTAGCCTTCAGGAACAGGACCGAAAGTTCCGAAAGGGAAAAGAAGACCTACATAAACTCTGTCTAGATCTCCTAAATCGAATACATTCTCCCTTGACATCAAATGTCCCTCTCGGCCTCTGATGACTTGCAGATCAATCTTTTCGGACAAGGAGAAGGTGTTCTTACATTCTCTTTCGGATGCCGTCATATCCGGAGAATCCCAGGGTGGAGGCATACATCCTTTCATGTCCTCCAACCCAACCACATTGTTATACTTTGAGTCCATTGCAGTTGAAGAGGTAATTACGAACGAAAGCACAATAAGAATGTTTCGAGCCAAAAAATCAGACCGATATTTAGTCTTTTAGTTTTCGATGCCTCCCCTCATCACAATATTCACAACCTTGCTCTCAACCTCGGAGTTGGCCTTATGCACCTGGACCGAAAGAGTTGCTCAAATGGCTGGTTGCGAGCGTATGCAGAAGAGAACCACCTGCCACAATCTGCAGTCACAGAATTTCCTCGATGCGCGATAAACATAACTAATCTCTATCGGTGGATCTACACACCACACCATAAACAAAACACCCACACACTTTCTGGTGGCTTCACAGTTTGCCGAACTGGAGTTGGGCTTACGAGAAGATAGCTGGGACCCAGAGAGAAATAAATTCCCTGGAGAATGAGAACAATATGAAATTGGCAAATATCTCATAAAAGAAAGGCGAAATCCATGACCTGTCCTGCTGGTTAACATATGAAGAAATACCGCCCATGTGTAAAGTCAGGCGCCAGCGTGGCAAATATCTCATAGTATCTCATATGTAGGCCAGCTGCTCACCGCCTAGTGGCCTATACCCCTAAGCTGATATCGAGAAATGCCACTGTTGCACTGAACCTAAGTTTTTGGAGTATTTCAGACATATCCTGACTGGGCTTCAGTTGAAATATGGCCTGCCAACAAGTCCTTGAAGGACGATATATCGACCCTACGAGGCTGAAAATTGTTCTGGATAGACTGTTTGGAACGAGAGGAAACTACTTTGTGCGAGTAAGCAACGCCACCAGCCCCTCCGCTTGACATGGCGATAATAGCCGGTGAGGCATATACGCTAACCCATACCTCAGTTGCAGTTGAACTGCTGGATCTTGACAGTTCCCAGAAAGCTCACTGAGGTTTGTCTCCGTCATTCGCAGTTCTCACCTCCCAAGCCCCCAGGCTGAGCAACTCCCAGGAGCAAATCGAAAGCTGCTATTTCGAGTCCCATTAGCATTATATGGAGATGAAAGAGTTATGGAAGAATGGATACGAAACGAGGAAGATTTACACCTCAACAAGAGCAGCACAGCATCGCTTGTATATCATCTCAACACCCTCGAGAGAAAGTTTAGAAGGTAGCAGTCATGAGGGAGATTTTAACGAGCAAACCTAATGCAACCATATGGAAAAATACATTCCCACTTGTCTTAGATTCCTACCGCTTGAAGATGCCACAGAACAATGACTACCTCTTGTCAAATACTCCGGATCGGCCTCTGCTTTCCTCATCATCTTTCGCAATCTATCATTTACCTCCACACAAGACATACGTTCAGAGACACCCACCACCAACATGCCCTGGGAAATAAGGTCCAAAAGATCCCTAACAAGTTCAGAGCAGTTTGGATCCCCACGGAGGTCCTCTATCCATTGTTGAACAGACCTCCGGACAATGGCTTTGGGTTCAGAACCGCTGTTTTTCGTCTTTACGATATCGTAGTATTTCTGGTCACCCCTCCCTTCTCTTGAGGTCAAATAGCGCACCCGATTAAAATATGTGAGCTTTTGCCAGCCTCGGAGGCGCCAGATGAGCAATTCGAGAAACAAGCACCCCAGACTCCAGATATCGTACTTCCGTGTTATCACTTTGCACAAGGCTCTCTCTGGTGGTTCATAAGATGGCGACCCATTAATCTTGTCAGAAACAATAAAGGATCTCGTGAGTCGCCTGTGAAGATACGTTAGCCCGAAATCAGCTATTAGTAGGGCACCTGGATCAGCATTATATTCAGGTTTTTTGTCCACTTCCGGAGAAAGAAGGATGTTTTCGGGTTTGATATCACCGTTCCTTCCGTACACACGCTCGTATTCTTCAAAATGGGGCAAGGGCTCCTGAGTATTTCGATACTCGTGGATTTTGTGAAGAGCGGAGACGATTGCTTTACATTGTTCCAGCATCCACAGAACTGAGCTTTTGGAGAAATCGGGGCGTGGATTTTGCCGCCAAAACTGTCGCAAATTTGACTTTGCATACGGAAAAAGTAAGTAATACTCTTGTTTGTAACTAAAAGTACAAAGTAGTCTGATAAGGTTTGGATGTGGTTGTAGACTAAATGCTATGTGCACTGCTACCTCAACTTCGAATTCTTCTTTGCTCTTTGAATGGAGCTTCTTAAGGGCGAACGAGTTTGTGAAACCCTGTTTTCATTAACATTGTTTACTTGAAAACAGAAGTGTGATCTCCTACCTTCGACTCCTTGTCCATCTCAAACTTGTGGTGAGCTGGGTGGATATCAACCTTCCACACTGTGCCAAAACCTCCTTCTTTTGCCTTGCCGGTATCCATTTCGTCCAAGGTAAATGGAAGCACGCAGTTGTCATCAAACTCGTAGCGTTGGCCAATCTCGAAAATCGGTGCTTGCATACAGCGCTGTTCTCGGGAAAATTCTATAATACTAGTTGTGTCCCAGTCAAGCATACAGTGTATGGGATTCGATTCGTTTTTTCTACAGAGTTTGTAGGTTCCAGACAAATTCGCTGAATTAGATCGTTGGAAAGGCAAGTCTGCGTCTGCAAGGTTTTCCCTGAGAAATTCGCCAATGAGGTGACCCTTTTCAAGCAAAACGAGAATCGCGAAAAGCCTCTTGGCTTTGGTGAGAATTTCATCAGTCAGTAATCTTCTTTCCAAAAGATTTACATTTTTGTGATGGCCAAGTTCCACTTGTATTTTTGGCTTCGTTATGAGTCGCTCTAGCGCATCGTGTGGCACGAAAAATCGATCTTTGCCTTTGGGCCATTCAATGCGGCTCCCACGAAGTTGATCCCGTAGATATGTGGCTGACGTACTCGAGGACTTCTCTAAGAAATCCTGAGGATTATTTGCAAGTGCTTTTCCAAGAGAGAAAGTAGTTTCGTTGGAACCTTGGGTGGAATTTGAGCCTACGCGTTTAGGAGAAAAACACATATTCTTGTCCTGCACATGCAGAAAGGTTCCACCGATGGACTGTAGGAGCGCCCAGGAAACTGTGTAAGAAGCCGGAAACTTCATGATTCTCGTTAGAAAGCCTCCAGAACATGGCTACTTCAACTTACAATGCTAGATGTCTGTTCAAAGCTGCGTGAGTCCCCAAGCCCCCCCCC